GATAATCAGCAGCATGGATAATCAGCAGCATGGATAATCAGCAGCATGGATAAGTCACATAGCCAATAAAAGTGGCATTAGTTTTGGCCTTAGTTGTGTTTAATAAATACGATGTTGGAATCAGTTGTGCATTTTTTTGTACTTGAAGCCAGATTAGAGCAATTCATGAACCTAGCAAAGACCAGATCATTTTTATTGTATTTTCATTTGTAAAACTGAATGGAAAAATAAATTATATTTTCCCCAGGACTTTGAGTATAAACGGCTCTGAATGTGATCATTTACCTTTCATTTCTTTATCCAGCTCCTGTTGGGCTCCTTTCCCACCGTGTTGCTCAGCTGGTTTAGCTGGACGCTGCCGAGTGATGAAGTTGGAATAAAGATTTTTGAGGGGGTTGTCCATTGATGAAGGGACGCTGGAATGCCTCGCCTCAGAAGCAAGAACAGACTGCTGCGTTTTACCTAAGTCAAAGTGTGGGGAAAGTTGCGATGTAGATGCTTGGTTTGTCTTTTGGGCATCGTGCTGCAGTAGCTTCTGGTTGTATTTGAACAACTGAGGCAGATAAAAGAAATAGTAATAGTGCAGTAGTTTTTTCTGAATATCATCCATAGACTCTGTGTGTGGAGTTTGAAGATTGTGATTGGATGGTTGAACCGAGGAAGCAGCTGCAGCTCGAGGTGCAGTCTGGAGCCCGTGGTTGTATTTTTCACGCGAAGCCTCGGGCACATGGTACGGCAGATAGTAGTTATAATAAGGGCGATAGTAGTATTTGTGAGGATCAGCATTGTAGGTGAACCCTGGAGTTGGGAGAAAGGGTTGCTCAGGGGGAGGAACTGACAGAGGATCTGGTTTGTGAGAATAACTCAGAGATGCTGGAGACTGAGCTGCAGGAGTCCTAGAGGTAAATCGCCTCCCACTGCTACCATCATGCAGCTTCCCCATGCCAGGTTTATACCTCTTAGACTTATTTATGTTGGGATTCATGCCATGTTTTTCATAGCTGGAAGCAAAGGACCGATTTGTTTTTGTAGCCAAGTCAAGGCGCAAAAGACCCAATCTTTTAGCTTCACCTTTAAGATGTGGCAAGTAGAAGAAATAGTATGGATGAAGCTGCAGAGGATAAGAAGCAGGAAGTGATGACACTCTGGGACTTGTTGGGAAAGTGTAAGGAGTGGGGGTGGTAAATGGTAGAGAAGTCTTGTCTGAAGCATCGTTACCCAGACTTTTAAGCTGATGGTTGTTTGGGAGCATCGACGAAAACTTGTGGCTTTGAGACTTGGTTGAGGATCGTAATCTTCCAGATGCACCTGGACCCTGAGGAGTCCCAGGAGGAAGGATTTGGGGGAGATGGTAGTGGTGGTAATAACTGAAATCATGGCCTGGAGGCTGTGAAGGAGCTACTTCCACCTGAACTGTAAAGCCTGTGGTAGCTGCACTGCTCTCCAAGGCATTTAAATCAGGAGCTTTACGATTTTGTTTCTCTCGATGCGCTCGACCCGAATCCTTCATTTGATCTTTGAATGAAAGAGGCCTGCGGGCTCTGAAGTGTTTATAAGACTCCTTAAGAGGATCTTGATGGGAGTAATGGTCCTGGCTCGTTGGCTGGGAGCTGAACACAACACCACGAGCCAAAGCTGTAGGGTTAGAAGAGCCCCGTCCTTTAGGCTGGGGATATGTAGGGTGAGGATAGTTAGGTGGGGCCAAGTAGAAAGGTGGGACCCACAAGAAAGGACCCAAGTTGAGTTTGGGATTTGCAACTTTCTTGGTAAAACTAAAAGGACCGTCAGCGAGAGGTTGATGGGTGACTGGAAGTTCGAGGGGTTGGATAGGACAGGCCATTGTATAGATTTTCTTTCCTATTCGAAGAGAAAGTGTTTGTTCTCCATCCTGTAAAACAAGAATAATCACGATTAGCTCTACAACAGATTAAGCCTGTTTAATGTACACTTTAAAAAAAAAAGTTTACCTTCACTGCGACACCACATGCGTCAAACGGGACAAAGATGGTAATCCCTTCATCTTGTTTTTGCACAGTGTAGCCACACTGCTCCACCAACAACAACAAAGGGGTCCATTCTCCTCTCACTTTAACAGAGGGAGGAAAAAAGTTACAGCACCAGGATTTAAAAAGACAACGAGTATAAAAAAGTAAATTACGTGAAAAGTTTTCCCAATATTAATGAAAAATGTACCACTGATCTGTGGCTCCTTGACAGCAGACAGTTCTTGCAGTTTGAACGCTACACCATGAGGGGAGCAGCAGAGGAAAGACGCCCCCTCACCTGGAAGCTTGTTGTGAGAGACGGGACAGGACACCCTGACTGGGACCCCCCTCCAAAGCAGGGGCAAAACAAAACTGCCATCCTGAATGAACATAAAACAAGTTAACGCCTTCAGTAAGAAACATACACTCAGATCAGCTGGGAAAGTCCCAAACTCTCCAAACGAGTGTGCACTGAGTCAGTGCAGTTAGTGAGTCAGTTGACCACAGTTACAACCAAAAGGCTTTAAAACTGGAAACCAGACAATGAAAGTCAAATTAGTCTTGTTAAAGTTTAAATTAGTTTCTCTGAAAGTGTTTTGTAAAGCTGAAGCATGCACTAAAGTGTGCGTGTGACTAGTAAAGTGGAGTGCCCGTACCTCCCGAGTGACGTGGCAGGCGTCGTACTGCGCCTTCAGACTGAGGTCTCTTGGTGTGATTCGAACAAAGTAACCGCACTGAGGAGGGAGCTGGAACAGCAGCGACGACGACCCGTTCGCTGAGACAAGCAAAGTCATTTTACTTTGATGGAGAGAAGAACGAACCCCAAAAGTCCCAAAATGAACCGTTTTAAAAATCAGTTGATTACAATCTGCATCAAGACTATGTATATATTGCTATATGATTCAGATTTGTTCATTTACATACAGGTGCATCTTAAAAAAAAAAAAAAAAAAAAAACGCATTGTGAAAATGTTATTAGTTTTTGTCAGTCACTTCAGAAAGTGAAACTTGGATTACACAGTGAAAGATTTTATGCCTTTATTTCTTGTATTTTTGAGGATTATGGCCAACAGATCATGAAAAACAAAATTTAATGTCTCAGAAAGAAACTCCTGGTGTCTCAGCCTAATCAGCTGATCAACTCCAAGACATGAGCTACAAATGTTCAAGTCCAGCCACTCCTGAACCAGAGACATCAGAAGCATCTTACCTGCTGAGGAAACAAAGAACTGGACTGTTGCTCAGTGGTCCAACATCCTCTTTTCAGTAAGTAAATTTTCATGTCATTTGTAAATCAAGGTCCCAGAGTCTGGAGAAGAGTGGAGAGGTCCAGAATCCACATTGCTTGAAGTTTCCACAGGCAGTGATGGTTTGTGTCCATGTCCTCTGCTGGTGTTGGTCCACCGTTTTCTGAAGTCCAGTCATCGCAGCGTCTAGCAGGACATTTAGAGACCGCTTCCTTCTGCTGATGAGCTTTATGGAGATGCTGGTTTCATTTTCCAGCAGGACTTGGCTCCTGCCCACACTGACAAAGGGACCAGAAGCTGACTGTGGAATATTCTAATTTACCGAGACACTGAATTTAGTTTTTTGATTTGTAAGACATAATGATCAAAATTACAAGAAATAAAAGCTTGAAATATTAACTCGAATCGATAAGAGTTTTTGAAATAATTGATGAAAAACTTGACCAATTATTTTTAGATGCACACATTTTACATTTATTGTAGTCATATTTCTTGTTTTCTTCATTTCAGTTACTCCTGCGAGCAAATACATTTAGAGTCACTGTTAGTGTTGTGATGAACTGATTTAAGTTTAAAGCCCATTTTCTTTTTACGAGCCGTCCTGGTTTATGATCTGTATAGGATTACTGAATTTATAAACTTGTTCAACATTATAAATTAAATTGTTTCAACAGAATAAGGGAGAGCAAAAAAATGCAACAAGTGAGACTTTTTTTTAGACATCACTTCCACAGTTTTCTTTGAACATTGGTTGATTTTCACTCATTTAAAGTCCACCTTGTGCTTGAACACTTTCAGATAAATGTATATGATTTTAAGTCGACTAAATCAATAAATAAATTGCTTAAAATAGTTATGACATCAACTTTTCATAACAAATATGAATGCTTTTTTGGAAACATTACTATTGCAAAAAAATAAAATCCATGCAGTCGAGAGGAACACTTGCAGTTAACAGGAAGTGATGTCATAGGGGAACACCTGCATGTAAACAGAGCATCGCTACAAAAACCAACACACACAGCAGAGAAGAAACTGATATTTCTTTAAATTATTTTGAGCCACTATTAGAGGAACAGAACAGAGTTCAGATAATACTCCAACAAGACCAGGAAGTTCCCCTTTGATGTCACTTCCTGTTTCACTTTGGCTGCACCAAGATCAAAAGAAAATATACCAGTTATGTGATAAAACGTAAAATCATACACATTATGCCAAATTTCATACATAAAGCTTTCATTCGTGTTTTGTTTTTGTGTATGCATGTCACTGACACTTTAATCAAAAAAATAATGTAAGAAAAACAAACAGTGGCAGTATAAAGCCACAGGTTTATAGCTAAAATAAAGAACTGAATCTTTTATATTTAAAAACAAAAGCTGCTAGTAACAAAGATGTATTTGTGTAAAGTTAAAAATTTTGCTCAGTTTTTAAAATTTACATGCCAGAACAATCCGTAAACAGTTAATACTGATGGGGGGGGAAAAAAAAAATTACTCTTCAAATGTCTCGTTTTGGTAAAACCACTCGCTCCAACTCTAATGTCTCCTCCCTAACGCACATCTGAGTGGAAACAAAAAAGGTCTAAACATACATGAGAAACCACAAGTGTAAAAACTAGAACAAAATAAAATGTCAAATTTAAAGAACATGAACCACTAAAAGCTGCAGCACGAACAGGACGCAGTCTGACCTCGATCGAGCAGCAGCTGTATCGCTCGTTTCCTCCTGACCGTGAGGATCATGGCGTCGTCTTCACACTCCACCGACGGCTGTAGTCTCTGCCAGCTCTCCATCGAGCTGCTGGGATGATGACCTCTGCTCCTCGTCTGCTTCCCCTGGCCCTGGCCTGGAAAACAAAAATCAATTGAGGAAATGCATTTTATGTAACGTAAAGCTGGAGTGGTCACAGTCAGTGGAGATCCAGTAGAACGATAAACTCAGAAATTAAAAGATGAGAAAAAAAAAAACACCTCAATTTTATACAAAAAGGAAGTTTCACATTCATTGCTGATGTGCCAAAAAAAAAAAGTAGTGTACAATGTAAGATTTTCACAAATCCTCAGTTTTATTTAATAAATGAGTAAATCATTTATTCTCTCAAAAATCCAAGATTACAGGAAACGGTAAAACCTGCTTCAAGACTTTCCTCCTCCAAAACATTGATCTCAGAACAGATTTAACTTGATCCATGCATCTACAGCTGCATGCAGAGAACGATTAAAGGAATATTTCTGACATTACGACGTGGGGTTCTGTGAAAAGGTTATGAACTATTACCGTCTTACCTGTTGTAGATGGCTCTTTGAACGACCACAGATTAGAGAAACAGTTTTGGTTGGAAGATGAGCAAAGTGAATGTCAGCCATTTCAAAACACACTGCCATCAATTCACATTAAATTGTTACTTTGAATTTTATGGTCATGTTCAAGCCCAAACAGAGCAGCAAGCTGTAGCACTACGAGTGCAACTTAGAAATGTTGGTCTAAAGCAAAACAGATGGCAGAGGTTCAAGTAATGTTTGCACAAACACTAAGATTTAAAAAATCAGAACTGTTTTCAGGGTCAACCTTCTTCAGAGGTGGCTCTGCTCGGGCCTCATTGACGAACTTACTGCTCCGTCTGAGCAGACTCGCTTTAAAAACAGATTTCAACCGATGTCAGCAAGTCGACCAAGTCCTTGTGTACCAGGAACAAGCCCGGTGGACTGTTGAGACAGATTCATTCTGCAGCCTCGGCACATCCACAGTCTCAGTAACAAACGTTCAGTTGAGAAAATGCCAAACTAAAAACAGTACTCTGCAGAAAAGCAGAGCTTTAACACTTTCTCTTATCACTTTCTTTAAAACCAGTGAGACATTTATGAAGGAAACTTATCTTGCGTATAAAAAAAATAATAAAATGGGCACCGGTGTGACCAGTCTGACTCCTGTCCAAGGTCTTCTTTCATTGTGCTGTTCTGCCGGCACAGCTGATAAACTACCATTAACTGTTTGACAGATCACTTCAAAATGGCCCAACTATTCTTTTAATCCTTTACCACACCATTAAATTTGAATTGCATGTTTATTTCATCTGAAACATTATGATATAAAAAGGTTTTACAGCCCTCTACTGCCCTTTAAGCTTCAAAAGAAACACAAATTTCCATATAAATATCAGTTGAGTTACTGACGGCAGTGTAAAGGCCTGGAATAACAGATTTGAGATTGGACTTAAAGGGATAGTTTGGTCATTTTTTAAACAATCTGTCAAATAGTTTAATATTTCTTTTAAATGAAATCAGTTAAAACGTGCAAGCCAGACTGGCTTTGGTTGGGCATTAAGACAAAACAACTCTTCTTCAAAAAGTCAAGTCAACTTTATAGAGCACATTTAAAAAAAAAAAAAAAACAGAACTCCTCGCTCCTCGCTCCTCGCTTCAGTCTTGTTTTTGGAACAGCCAAAAGCAGCTGATCGGATGATCTCTGGGCCCGAGAGGGAACGTAAGGTTCCAGTAGCTCAGAGAGGTAAAGGGGTGTGAGGCCATTTAAGCATTTGAAGGTCAACATAAGAATTTCAAAGACTATCCTAGTATGAACAGGGAGCCAGTGAAGGGAGGACAGAACTGGTGTGATATGTTCAGACCTACGAGTTCCGGTTAAAAGCCGAGCAGCAGCATTCTAGACGAGCTGAAGACGTGAGATGGAGGCCTGGCTGACCCCAGCATACAGTGCATTGCAATAGTCCAATTGGGTCGTGACAAAGGCATGGACTAGTTTCTCAAGGTCGGGTCTGGACAATACTGGCTTGAGCTCATCTACCCGTCTAGTTGGAAGAAGCTTTTTTGCAGAACAGAGTTGATTTGTTTGTCAAACTTGAAGTCGGAGTCTAAAACCATCCCAAGATTTATACCAGACTGCTTCAAATATGGCTGAAGAGAGTCCAGGTTGACAGGATCAATGGCAGCAGTTGAGCTAGGGTTAAAGACAATGACTTCAGTCTTATCATTAAAACTTAAGAAATTTGAAGCCATCCAGGCCTTAATGTTGTCCAGACATTTTAACAGAGGGTGAATGGAGCAAACACTTGCTGGTTTCACAGGCAGGTAGATCTGGCAGTCAGCATAGCAATGGAATGAAAGACCATGTTTCCTCAGGATGGACCCCAGTGGGAGCAAATAAAGTGAGAACAGAAGGGGTCCAAAAATCGAACCCTGTGGGACCCCGCAAGAAAAAAAAAAAAAAAAAAAAAAAAGATTTGTGAAAGAATGCCACATTAGCTAAAATAGCGTCCAGGTTATATTTTAGCTAATGTGGCATTCACCCAACCCGGTTTGTCAGTGTTCTCTCAGAGCAATGTTTGAGTTACCACGCAAACGTTTAAACTCCACAGGAACAGAGTCGACGTTTAGAGACCAGATGTTCTCATCGGCAGCTCCAGCACAGTTTGTAAATAACGTGGACATTCAGTTGACAAAAAGAGTGCAATGGTTTAATTTAGGTACAATAGAATTTTATCAGACAAGTAGACATTTTTGACTAAACAAAAATAAAAGGTGCAAGATAATCCCCGTATCATGGCAGATGTGCACTTTCTGCCTTTGTATGTTTGTGTGCACTGTGCATAATAATCCCTCACACTTTTTTTTTTTTTATTATTATTTTTTATATCAGCCCCCAAGGGCCTTCACCTCTGAACTTTAAAGACGTAATGAAATTGTGTACACAGGGTCCCAGTTACATCCAACAATAAAATGTAAAAGAAAAACAGTAAGATCTAAGATGTGAACCAAGAAAAACATCAGCTAAAAATATGCCAAGCACTAATAGCATAAAAACAATAAACAATACACTGAACAGCAGCACGAACATGAGTCTGTGTGAGCAGATGAGCACAAATGAACACAGCAACATGAAACAGATCAGCAGCAACATGAAACAGATCAGCAGCAACATGAAACAGATCAGCAGCAACATGAAACAGATCAGCAGCAACATGATGTGATTTTTTCCACAGTGATTATTCTGGTTAGAGATTCATGAGTCTAACAGCCTCAGGGTAGAAGCTGTTCCTTAGTCTAGTGGTTCTACACTTAATGCTCCTCAACCTCCTTCCTGAGGGGAGTGGGGCAAAAAGTGTGTGTGCTGGGTGAGTGGGGTCCTTCATGATGCAGGTGGCCTTGACAGCACTAGATGGCACTAAAATGTACTTATGTAAATACTGACCAACTTTCATGACAAACTGAGGTTGAGAACGTGTTTGATGAGACGAGCCTCGTCACAGTGGACCCAGTACAGGTTCCTCTGATTCCCAGTTAATCTTTTATTTTCATGTAGTTTGACTATTGGTGCCCATTTCCTTTGCATCAAGTCCTAGACCAGGGGTTTGCAACCTGTGGTTCTGGAGACGCATGCGGCTCTTTGGTCCCTCTGAAGTTGCTTTTTCAAGCTTTGACCAAAACAACAACAAATAGTTTTTTTTTTGTTTTTGTTTTTTTTCTTGTAATCTTTTGCAAATAATTGAACTTTTTGATTTATTTCTATACTTTATTTTTTCCACAGTAAATAAATAAAATAAATAAAAGCACAGGTCTGCACAGTTCATAGTTTATTTTATAGATTTAAAAAAAAAAAAAAAACTATCCATCCCCCACTCTCTTTACAAGAATCCAGTCTATTCATTCGTCTTCAATTGTAAAAAATATCAATAAATGTTAAAAATCGTTAAATATTTTTAGCTTTATAACGTCACCTCTACTGGCCACAAAATTCTCCTCCAGCAAACCTGAAGTGGCCCATGGGCCACCAGTTGATCAGTTGAAGCAGGCTGTTGTGGCTCTGGACACATTTAATTTAGTGAAGGTATAAAAATGTCTCTTTTGATCATAAAGGTTGCAGAACCCTGTCCTGGATTATACAGTTTACAGAAGCTGAGTTTCAGTTATTCTGATTTTTCTAAAATTGCCATAACTTCCTCATTTCTTCACCGGCCCAGACGATCTTTGTGTTAATATTTGTTTTATCAAGTGCAATCTGTCACATATTAAAAAAACAATTCAAGAACTTTAATTAAAAACAAATTTAAAAAATTGTCTCTTGCATACTTTAGTGGACTTTTTCACGTTTCTTCAATGCTTTATAATCTAAATCTGACGTTGCAGCTATGAGAAAACTAAATTGACCAGACAATTCATAAATGCCCAGACTCTATTTAAGATGGTCCTGCTGGTCTTGACCACCCTCACACTGGCCTGTTCAGAATCAAACAATTCCTCCAAACCAGGCAGGTGTCAAAATGACCCCATCTAGAACAGGTAAGATATTAATTGTTCACAACCTTGCCCCGTGAACTCCAACACAACCAGACTCTTAACTTAAACTTTGTTCCTGACGTTTTAAAACTAGTATGTTTACATGTATGCATTTGTATCATGGAAAACTTCAAAGGTGTCAGAGCACATGTGGATTAGGACAAACAGCATACCTGCGCCATCAGAACCGGAGTGGTAGCCAAGATGTTTGAGGTTCGGTCCAAACTGACCCGTGATGTAGAACCTGCCGGGCACCACGAGTTTAATGTGGCCCTTACTGCAGTTTCCACCCGGGGGGCCATGAGAGTTCAGGGGCCTCTTTCCCTCGGGTTGTCTTCGTTTGAAGCGGCTTTTGGAGCTCGTGCCAGTTCTGGGTTCGAGTCCCGGCTCCAACATGTTTTGAAAGGTGGGCTCTGAGTCACGGTGCACCCACCGCCTGACGTGGCTGATGATGGGGGGGTGAATCCTTACAGAGCCGCTCGGGGCATCACGGAGAACCGGAGAGGCTGGCTGGAGGGAGGGGGCTGCGGGCTCGCACCCCCCCGCTGAAAATAAACTTATTGTGGTGATGGTGTAAACAAGCGGGACGCCGAAGCTGTAAGCTTTTTGTTTCAAATGCATCGCCAACACGAGTCTTCCTCTTTTCACCAAATCACTGGGACCGAGTGACTGGGGGGTTAGTATTTTTGTAGACTTCCTGCCAGCGCACCTGCTCACTAATTGGCCTTGATTGGCCGCGCATGCGCAAATGCTGAAGTTTCCCTTCCAACGATTCAGGTACGTTTTAACAAAGAACATTAGAGGCTTTAACTCCACTTATTATTATTATTATTAGTTAAATTATTTAATATTTAGAGTTTCTTGCAGTGGTGCCTCTAGAAAGTTGTTAATGGGGCCCATGTGGGGGCCACTAAAAATCCTGGGGTGGCACACCAAAATTAAAATCCAGAACAGAATTTCAGGAGTACTTGTTGTTTTATTGTGTTTTGAATTGAGTTTTTAATTCATTAATGTGTGCTTAGCTTTGTCTCTTCATTTTTATGCTTTCTTTGATCTTATTTATTACTGATGTTAAGCACTTTGTTTCAGCTGTGGCTGCTGTTAAAGCACTTTATAAATAAAGTTGATGATGATGATGAGATTTATTACATCATATACAGATCATTTGGCAACTACAGCAATACGGTAGTTTAATTGTACAGTAGTAGGGAATCACCTTCTGATATACATATGTAACGTTTAGTTTTACTTTTTTTAACTTACTGTTGATATTGTTTCTTGAGGAAAAGCATTACTATTCAAGTTATTGAAGCTTGTCCTTTATATATATATATATGTTTGTGTGTGTGTAACATATATGATCAAAAACAATGTTTGTTTTTATGTTTGTGAGGTTCAAATATTCCTAAATAGCTAGAAGAAATAAACAAAAATGCACATGAATCGAAAGCTTGGGACTCGAGACCAAACTGCCTGTCCAATGAATGCATATCACCCTCAGCCTTTATGAGACTTTTAAAGACTTTTTGACTAAGAACATTTTATGAAGAAAAATGAAAACCTTGAAAATAAAGTCAGGCGAGACGTCACGCTCAGAGTATGTGTTGCGAACGACTCTCAGCTACTACCACATCCTTTTCCAACTTAATATCTGCACGACTGAGTGATTCCATGGTTGCTTTGGCTAAGGTCAATTGTCTGTGACAGCAATCTTGAACTGGACTGACTGGAAAACGTACTCAGTTATTGATGTACGTTGAATTATTTCTTTTGCATGTTTCATTAAACTTCATCCAGTGGTTCATGGAACGTTCTGCTGAAATGACAGACAAGCATGTGACACAAGCAAACAACATGTTTTCCCATTCTAGCTGCTCCTGAACACTTAATCATGTGACCACTAGAGGGCAGCAGTGAACAGCACCATCTCTGTCTGTGCTGGCCTGCAGCCTGGTGACTGCTCATCTGACAGATGGCCCTTTGCCCTCTGTAGTTTTTTTAAGTAAAAACTTCAATTTTCTCTCTTTATTTACACCTCTAATGTCCACAAACGTAGTCTGGCATTAGCTGTGTCATCCGTCAGGAGACTAGATGAGCTCTGGTTTGCCTTCAACTCCAAGTGCCAGTTTTGACATCACTTTGCGGTCGTGTTGTGGTGAGCTGAGGTCAGAGGGTCACAGACTCTGCCTTTATCTTAGAGGAGAGTTGAACCACGGCACAGTTGGAATCACATGATCGTATGGGGTTTTGGAGGGGATGATCGGTTGATGAAGGGCGCGGCAGGCAGGATGACTCATATTTGAAGTTGCTTAGCTACAGCCAGGAGTTGTTTTCTTTAGAGTCAGAGTGTTAGCACAGCGTGCGTGTCTGGATTTCATTGAGAGAGGACGGCTTTGTGTTTCAGACCTCTGAGTTAAATCTAGTCTCAGTGATGAACGAGGGGGGAGGGAGTGAGGGCGGTTCAGCGCCTAGAAGTGAGGAAGGAAGTCAAAGAATAGAAACCTTTGGCCAGTAACCATGGAAACGGGTTGGCTTAGTTAAGTGTGAGGAATTTGTTTTTACTGAATGTACATGGTGGTTATGGGGCTCTGCAACGGCCACCCACTGTTCACCCCTCACACCGCAGTGGTTCATGGTTACTGTACAGTGAACCACTGCAGCTGGTTCATGCAGAACATATGAATCTGCTTTCAAGACTCGTTCTCTCAGTCTAACGTTTTTCATTGACGCCTGCCAAAGGCGAAACGGCAGGTTTTTGCATAATATTTGCGAGTCTGTTAGCAAAATGTCTCACGGGATATATTTTCATTAAACTCTCAGCAGATCATTAAATGAACATCTGCAACACCACGGCTAACTCACCTTAGGAAACATCAAAATGACTACCACCTACTACTACTACCACTACTACTACTACTACTATTACTACTACTACTACTACTACTACTACTACTACTACTACTACTACTACTACTACTACTACTAC